TTTTTCTCTCCTCACTAATTCTTTTTCTGTTGAGGGCTTGGTGTAATTGTCTAGCATGGTAAGCATTCATTGCTTGGTTTTCTCCCTGGCTGCTTCTTTGATTCATGGTGCCGCGTTTGTGGTTAGCTTTCTTCATCTTTATCTCCGTGAATTGAAGATACTGAGATCCCTTGGAAAATGGCCCCTTTCCCACTGGTCTGACATTACAGCCAGGCATATTTGTTTTCTGAGTTTCGCTCTTGTTAATTGTGGTGGCTTCTGAGAGCCCTAGGAAATGTTGTAAAGTACTTCTTGTAATTGTTCCTACATTTACTGTCATATCTTCCCAGGCACACCCCCTTCTTTGTAATAGAAAGACACTCGATCAAATTCTAATTTCTCAGTACTCCATTTTTCTTGTAGAGCTTTTGTTAAATGGGCTTTTCTTTACACAGGCAGAAGTTATTCCCTTTTTTGGCATATGCAATGGAAGCTTATTTTTTTAATGGACAAGAACACCCAAAAAGCACAGTCTATTAGGAATTTTTATGATCAGAAACATAAGAAATACTATTGCCTTATCATACTTCAGTGAAGCAGAGGACAATTCTTTCCCTTGCTTTCTCTTTTCTAGCTTTTTTTTTACACCAGGTTAACATTTCAGGAATCATATAATAGGAAAGATGGCTGGGCCCTGGTGGCTTCTGCCTATATTCCCGGCAACTCATGAGGCTGAGATCTGAGGATCACAGTTCAAAGCCCTCAGGGACAGCAGTGTCCACGAGACTCTTATCTCCAATTAACTAACAAAAATCTAGAAGTAGACTTTTGACTTAAGCAGTAGAGCACCAGACTTAAGCATAAAAATAAACAAGAGTACGTGGTCCTAAGTCCAAGTCCCAGTTCTGGCACAAAAGAGAAAACTAAGCAAGATAAGTATTTTGGGTTGTTAGTTTTGTAGCATAATTGTCAAAGCAGATGCACAATGTGTGTATTTCTAAGGCTTGAGTTACATAGCAGCAACTTCGGGGGTAAAGCTAGTCACTCTTTTTCTGTTTTATTTTCCCAAAAGTGGATTCTTAAAAGGATTAAAACTGCTTAAAAAGATTCAACATCAACCAAAGGGGAGAGAGAAACCAAACAATCAGAATGATTCCTTAACCACAATAAAACTGTTCAAGGAGACAGAAAATGCCACATAAGACTCTTAACAAGGGTCATTTAAGAACATAATAAAGCAAAAAAAAAACATGAGTGGTTTTTAGTTGAGAAAAAAATCAACTAAAAAAATTAACTAGAAAGAATAATCTTTATTGATTCTTGATTTTGTCATCTGGAGGAAGCAATCAATGAAAAAACCTTTGGCTTACACAGAAATCAATCATACAAGGATAGACACCAAAAGAGAAAAATTAATCATTTGGGTAATAATATTATCCAGTATGAGAAACTAATGGACTAAAAGGGACAAAGCAATGGACAAAGGGACACAGAAGATAAAGTTGAAACAAGAGTTGCCTGAACAACCTATGAAAAATTTCCAAGCTAAAATACTTTGTATGTGAATTCAGAGGGCTCGCCATGTCCCTGGAAGATGATGGAGAAAAGCACGAGATAAAAATGAAACAAGAAAGGAAAAAAAATAAGAATATGACAAATATTAAAACAGAAAAGAAGAAGAAATAACAGAGCCAACAAGTGCAGCAGTAATATTCATGCAGTATTAAGAAGAAACAGGTCCATTGGACCAAGGAATCCTTAAAATAAACACAAAAGAGAACCCAATCCATCAAGATAACTTCCTCTTTCACACACACTCCATCACAGTGGCCAATCTACTTTTCTTTGCCCCACAGCATTATCGCTGTTCAAAATTCTCATTTACTTTCTGTTTCTATGTTTATTATCTGTCCTCTCCGCTCAAATGCAAGATGTGAGATTTGTAGGAAATCCAGTTCCTGTATTCTTCTCCCTGGAAACACTAGCATTCATACAAAAGGCAAAATGCCTTCCATTGGTAAATGTGAGGTTTTTAAAAGAATGTGCTTTGTATCAGATTTCCATCAAGAAAATGAATTTTGGCTATTTACATTTATTTTTCTGACTCGAAGATATGATTATTTAAAAAAGCTTGTCGAATTTTTATTCATCATCTTAATCTTCTTGTAGAAGAAATGGGAAGAAACACTGCTTTGATTAGGGTGCTATTAAAATGTATTTACTTTTACAAATGACATCAACACAAAACCTCCCAAAGCAAGAATGCTATTTTTCCTAAGCGACATGTAGTTTTGAATTTATAGCTTGACTTTCTTATCCAGGAAGAATGGCTGCAGCACCCACTTCAGATTCCTAAATCCACGCATGCTCCAGGGTCTTACTGGTGTAGAATTGAGAACCTGTAAATATTACCAGATGTTTGAAATCATCTCTAAATTATCATGACACTCAAAAAATGCAGATATGATGCAAATAATGGTTATCCTATAGTGTTCCGAGAACAATAATAAGGAAAAGTCTTTATATAATTAGTATGGATGCCATTTTTTAAAAAATGTGTTTGATCCAAGGGTGGCTGGTTGAAAGGTAAGCCATGGCTCTTGGAGGACTGAGCAGACATCCACTCATGATTCACGACTCATCTGGTCCTAACTCACCCGTTCAGGATTCATCCATTCATCACTGAGTCACAGAGAGATGGCTATGATGGTAGGCTCAGTGGTCCTTTGGTTCTTTGCCCGTAGATGAAGTGCTTCACCCTATACTGGAAGTTTAGAGTCAGCTATTTGCTTCAGGACCTCATGATGGTCTTTGTGAACCAGAGTGTTATCCCTCAATGTTACCTCTGTGTGGAGAGATATAAGAATCCTCTGGGGAGGGTGTTCTATGTGTGTTAGACCCTCTGAATTTGAAAACCTGCATTCCATTTTCCTGCTAATGAATGAGCAATACATGCCTGGATATTAAAGTCCTTTCTTTTCTTTCTTTATTTTAAGAAAAAAAAGATCCATTCAGTCTTTCCATGGCTAGTGTGGAGATCTCTTGGGTTAATGCACACATGCTTCTAAGTATAGATAATTAAGAATGATACAATGAACTTTCTGGAAGTGATTAAAGGGCACAACAGAAAAATGATGCCGTCTCTTTAATCTTTTGTTTTCTTTCATAGAGATTGACTCTCCTGATATTAAATGACTAATCAGTATTTCTCAGCATTAGGTATAAATTATGAATGAAACAGAAAGTATTCTTCAAAATGATCTTTACAGCTTGTAGGGAGAGGGAATTGGGGGTGTGTGAAAATGAAGGAGGGGATACCACTGTTCAAAAAGAAATATACCCATGACCTTACCTACGTAACTGTAACCCCTCTGTACATCACCCTTACAAAATTTTTTTTTTAAAGAAGAAGAAACTGTCCCTCAAACACCTAGAACAGCAGGCTTGGAGCTGAGGAGTTAAGATATTTAATATTACCTTTAAAAAAGACCTTGAAACTCACTCCCCCAATAAAAGCTAAAATTAAAAGAAAAGTTAAAATGACACAGCAGAAGATGTAAGTGCAGAGAAGGAAAGACTCTGTGAGCCATCAAAGTCGCTTCTGAACAAAAGGACCTCGTGACTTTTGTCTCCAACTGGCTGAGGTCCAGCACCAAATGCCAACGCCCTGTGTAACCCCTGGCAAATCATTAAAATTCTGAACCTAAGTCTCACACATGGATGTGTCTGGAATGTGATACTTGTCTAGTGCCTACTGCAACATTCAAATAGGAACATGCACATTCCTCACAGCAGTGCCCAGTACACATATGCACTCCATGAATATTTAATACCTATGTTGCTGTTGTTGTTTTAAAGAGACAAGAAGTAAAATTTGCCAGTGCTCACCCATTGGCGATGTAAGAAAAACTAGTCCGACTATTTCATGATTATTTGGGGTGCGTGATAGGCTGGTAGTATTTGTACCTTAAAAAACTCTGCAATGCAGTCATTGTATTCAAGGTATGCTATGTAGAGAATGAACTGTGTAATGTGTGGGTAGAGACAGGAGGAGAAAGTGGGGGGCATGAAGGGCTGACCCAGAAGCATTGTACTCATAAGCTGATTTACGGAATTGTAACCCCTTTATACTTAATAACAGTAATAAAAAAAAACCTCCACAATAAATTCCCTTTATTTTGATTTTAGGCTTGCTAAACAACTGCTATATAGGTTAGAGTCTTAGCTGTCAAATTATACATTAGTATGTGGGCATTTAAAACAGTCCAAAATGAACTAAATTGTCGTTAACAGGAGCAGGAGTTATCTACCTAAAGTAGCACAAACATTTTTGAATGAATCATCTGTAATTGAAACAAAGAGAATATTCAATGGGCTATGACAGTTTTCAGTGCTGAACCTGAGCAACCAATGACCTTGCACTATGACCTGTGGCACCAGCAGCCTGGCAGGCTTGGGTTGCACCTTAAAGTACCAGAAAGCTTTCAGCCAGGCCAAAATTTCAGGTCCAGCAATTGACCAGGGAACTGTAGAGAGTCATTTTCCCTCCCATGTATCTTCGGTTATTTTCATGGCTTATCTCTCAAGAAAAAAGAAAGAAAGAAACACACACACACACACACACACACACACACACACACGCGCGCGCGCGCGCGCCAGTTGAGCATGATTTCTACCTCTAGGACATATCTCGTGATACTATTGCCTACAAACCAGCTCACAAATATATTTTAATGATCTGTTTTTAAAATGGAAATGGCCCCCTCCACTCATACCCTCCCTTATTCTTGCTGAGGGCATATTAACAGAGTTGGTTCTCTCTCTCTTCAGTAACAATACTTGCTAACGATGTTCATGAGCTTGGGATATTTCAACGTGAAGACTGACTGGATCTCTTCTGTTGACAAAGACAAGAAGAAGCCCTGTTGCTCTGGGTTTACCGTGACTGGATTTCCTGCTATGTGGTGTTGTCTAATTGCACACATCACTCTTACTAACATGGCATTTCTTTGGGTTTACAGAACACAGTGGTGTGGACCAGGACACAGCACTGGCTGCGGCCCAAGGCTTCACTGGCTGCCTCTCGGCGGTGCGGTTTGGCCACGTAGCTCCTCTGAAGGCTGCTCTGCACCCCAGCCACCCAGCCCCCGTCACCATCACAGGACACGTGACCGAGTCCAGCTGTGTGGCCCAAGCTGGCACAGATGCCACCTCAAGGGAAAGAACCCATTCATTTACAGGTGACTAAAGAGGGTACCTCCACCACACACCCAGTCACCAACACAGGCTCCCCACTAGACCTGGGCAAGATGATTTTTATTGTGATGCTACTCCATTCAGGAGATGGTTTCTGAACATTGGTTTTCATGTTCAGGAGTCTTTCTCATTTCTTTGCCAGAGTTGTATTGTTTCCATTGCAGTTGCTATTGCTTAAAGAGAAAATGACAGAGACCCTGTATTCATCTTTATCCTTCTATTTGTGTGTGTGTGTGTGTGTGTGTGTGTGGGTGGGTGGGTGGGTGGGTGGGTGGGTGTTGTTATTGCCAGTCCTGGGGCTTGAACTCAGGGCCTGAGCATGGTCCTTGAACCTCTTTGTAATCAAGGCTAGTACTCTACCACTTTGAGCCACACATCCACTTCCAGATTTTGAGTGGTTAATTGGAGATAAGAGTCTCATGGACTTTTCTGCCCAGGCTGGTTTTGAACCTTGATCCTCAGGTCTTAGCCTCCTGAGTAGGTAGGATGACAGGTGTGAGCCACTAGTGCCTTCTATTTTTGTTTAAAACATTTATCTTTTGTTGTTGTTGTTGTTGAGAGACCAAGATTCAAACTCGGTACCTGACACCTTGCCCTTTGGCTGATGCTGTACTAACTGAGCCATGCCTCCAACCCCAGAGTTGGTTATTTCTTTTCTTTTCTTTTTTGTGTTTTTGTTTAAAACATTGTGAATTTTTCTTGTCCTTCCTACCCCGTCCCTCTCTTCCTTCTTTTTGTACCTCAGGAATCTTCTTCCTGTTCTTCCTCCTGCTCTTCCTCCTCCTCCTCCTTCTTCTTCCTTCTATTCTTCCTCCACATGCTCGTAATTACCCTCCCCTATCTCTCCTCCTCCTCCTTCTCTTTCTTCTCGTTCCTACCTCTCCATTTCCTTCTCCTCCTCCTTTTCCTCCTCCTTTTATTTCTTGTCTTGAGGGTTGAACTCAGGACCTCTTGCTTGCTAGACAAGTGCTCCACCATTTGAACCATATTTTTTTGGGGGAGGGGGTCTGGTCATGGGGCCTGAACTCTGGGCCTAGGCACTGTCGCTCAGCTCTTCAGCTCAAGGCTAGCGCTCTACCACTTGAGCCACCTTCCCAGCCCCATTTGAACCACATTCTTAGTGAGTTTTTCAAACTGTCTATATCATCCTTGACCCCTTTCATACTTTAATTGCAGATCATTCTGGAACACTGGATGACAGAGAACCTCTCACTAATGCCATCAAAAGTGACTCTGCTGTCATTGGAGGTAATGGGACGCAGGAGTGGGCCAATGATCAGCGTTTATTATCATTACTAATAATGGTGAAGGGCTGAGGCGTAGCTCATTGGCACAGTGCTTGCCCAGCAGGTGCGAAGCTCCAGGTTTGATACCCAGTACCATAAGCAAAACCCTAATAATGATGAAGACTCAGCCTCATAAAATGATAAAGAATCCATATGCACACCAAGTGCCAGACCACTGAATTGAGAGGGCAAAGGGGCCTTTTACTATTTGGGCTAGATTGTTTCACGGAATCTTCCAGAATTCTTTCTTGGCTTCCTTGGAAACCTGCAGTAGAGTTATTGACAATTTTTCTAAAGCATCACACTCAAAAAATAGTTGCAATACGATAATAACAAATAGTATTTAGCCCCAAAGTGGCCAACTGTAAACCCAAGGGAACACTGAATATATCTGAGGAAATGTTATTTTTTTTTCTGGTTTCTTCAGCATATCAGTGTTCATGTAAAAAGCAAGGCAAATCTCCAGTTAAGATTAGAAGTATATGTTGTATTGATACATATTAAAGTTGGATATTTGCAAGGTTTCGCTACTCCAGTCAATGAACATGATACTTTTAATCATATTTTTAATCAAATATAAAGTGAATAGCTTAAATAATTTCATTGCAGTTTTAAGTGCATTTATTTATTTTGTGGCTATGAAGGTACTGGGGCTCAGACTCAGGCTCTAGGCACTGTCCCTGAGCTTTTTCACTCAAGGCTGATGCTCTTCCACTTGAGTCATAGTTCTACTTCTGGATTTTTGGTGACTAATAGGAGATAAGAGTCTCATAGACTTTCCTGTCCTGACTGGTTTTGAACTGCAATCCTCAGATCTCAGTTTCCTGAGTAGCCAGGATTACAGGCATGAACCACTGGTGCCTAGCCACAACAACTTAAAAAATAATCTCCCTGATAATGTGATAGCATCTTCTCTGAGGTATAATTTATTCAAAACCAACTCCAGAAATAACCCATTTTTTCTTCCTGATTAATGTTCTTAAGATGCTATTAATCAGATTACTGAAATGTTAAGTGGCTTAGCTTTTCTCCACACTCTGAATATGATATGGACACATCACAGTAAATAATTATTTCATCACATTAAAGTGGCTTTTCATATACGTGAAAATTTTTATATTGGATCTAAGGGAACTAAGTTATATATTCCTACTTATCTAGACATGAACTTTCTTCATGGAGTTACAATTTTATTTAAACAATAAGTAGTGCTGGTGAAAACTTTGTGCTCATTTTTCTTTCTGTACCTTTTATTTTCCTCAATCCCAATGTGTAAATTGAAGATACATGAAATAGAATTTCCATTTGGTCATCTGACAAAAATATTAAAAAAAATCAAGCATAAAAATCTGTGATTTAATGTCCTATGGTAAGAGCATGCTTAAAGCTATAGGATTCACAATTTACTCAGCATTTTCAACTAAGATTCCTAGTCAAACACAGTCTCATGATAGTGTTGATACTATGTGTTCAGCTAGTATGGGTCTAGGGGTGTTAAATATTGAGGTAATGAAAATAGAAAATATTGTAGAGACAAAATAATTTCATCTTTAGGTGTCTATTGTTGCTCTGTGCAAAGGTCATTTCCAAGAAGAAGAGAGTTAAATATGGTATCAGACAGGCTGAAAAGTCATTCTATTATTATTTTAGAACAAAGTAGATTACGTTCACCTGTGAACTACTCCCTCAGCGCGCATGCGTGGAAAGGAGACAGGCAGTTTGGAGCACATGCCCTTGGGGACCTCCCCAGCTTCCATTCGACTAGTGCTATCTGCTTTTGATCTTCTCGGGAGCAGAAGCAGCTGGCAAAGGCCATCTAAATTCAGAAGGCCTCATCTGGACCAGGTGTAATTTTTCTGCTAAATCACACTGGATGATCCTCGTGTGTGTTCCTCCATCTGGTCGACCTGGGTTAGAACGTTGCCTGTTGTCTAGTTCCTCATAAATTGCACCCCGCCTGTAGCCACAATGAATCCATTTAAGCATTTTACAAACTGGTTAATGTCCCTGTGCCCTCAGTGTTCCACGATCTATTTCTTTGCCTTATGATAAGTAAGGAGGTTAAGGGAGAGTTGATGTAATAAGACCTTTCAAAGGGATGATGCAGATCTTCTAGAATGTTTGGGACCAGGCTACCCAGATATAGATAGAGAGCTGGAGATAGGAGAGGGAGAAAAAGCATTATTGTTTCTTCATAAGGACCTATTTGCAAGAATGCTGTGATTGCGGCATTGTAGAGTAGCTATCCATATTTCACTTAGAATATTTTATTATTTTATACTTTCATATTTTTGGTCCAAAAGCTGAGGTCAGTGTCTTTCCTGAGTACAACAGAGTATGATAAAGAAACATCCAAATTAAAAGGGATAAATCACATATAGTCAGCAGACAAGTTGAAAGACTGCCTTTGATTTCTTTTCTTTTTTTTTGGTCAGTCATGGGGCTTGAACTCAGGTTCTGGGTGCTCTTCCTGATCTTTGTGCTCAAGGCTAGCACTCTCCCTCTTTGAGCCACAACTCCACTTCTGGTTATCTGATGGTTAATTAAGGATAAGCTTTTCCTACCTGGGCTAGCTTTGAACCTCAACCCTCAGATCTCAGCCACCTGAATAGCAAGGATTATAGACACGAGCCACTGGTGCCCGGCCTGTCCCTGATTTTGTTTTTTTTTTTTACTGTATGAATGCTCTATCTGCTAATATTGGTGACTAACCAATGACAACATTGACATATCATCTGCTTCAGCATTTACTGACTGGTAAGAACCTTAAATCTTTGACTTGATTGGATTTCATTATAGTCACATACATTTATTTAATTAAATTTTTTTTTTAGTGATACTAGAGTTTGAACTCTGACCTTTGCCCTCGCTGGGCATGCATTTTACCTCTGAGCCATGCTTTCAGGCGCTGAGTCTGCTTTATGTAAGAGTGAAGTCTTAGTAACACTCCACATTACGATTTTCATAGTACCTATTTTTGTTAAGAGGCCCTCTACTCATTCATCAAAGTATTTTTAGACGTGAGGGAATTCTCACACTCCCGGTGCCAGACAGAAACTTGCCACATTCTATTTTTATTGAACAACTAGAATTTTAGCATTGGTAACATCTGCTGCTAGTTGTGTTTTTCCCCCTTGAAGAGACAGATTTGCTTCATTCATCTTAGAAAATACTCGGCAAGGTCCTCACACCAGAATGACTATACTTTCCCTGGTCCTTTTTCCACATAAATGAGACACTAAAAACATCATGCAGTTCATGACTCCAGTATTCACACAGTACTGGCCCCAGGGTCGGCAACTTCCCTCAGAAAGTACCAGAAGTGCTTTACGTGTATTTTCCACTTCAGCGCATAAAACGTTGAAAAAGAATTGCAGTCAAGGGCAAGATTTAGTAACATGAGTAAGTTTTCCTACTTAATCAAGGACACCCTCAAATGAAGCTGGATTTTACCTGGCAGTGTGCTCACTTCTCTGTATGAACTCAAAGAGGAAAATTACAATTTGTAACAGTCCTTGTCTTCACTTATGCTAAGAGCTAGGAATTTCACCTTGATTTGTTTTATACCATCATTGGAAGTTTAAAGGATGATGATTTTGTTGTTGTTGTCTATTGTGGGCCTTGAACTCAGGGCCTGAGAGCTGTCCCTGAGCTCTTTTGCTCAAAGCTAGTGCCCTTCTACTTTGAGCCACAGCTCCAGTTCTAGTTTTTGAGTGGTTAATTGGTGATAAGAGTCCCACAGGGACTTTTCTGCCTGGGCTGGCTTTGAACCATGATCTTCATATCTCAACCTCCTGAATGGCTAGGATTACAGGTGTGAGCCACAGGCTTCTGGCTCATGAAATAAAGTTTTACCCTTTGAATCTCCTCCTAAAGACCCAGGGTTGGCAGAAGCTTGTCAATCATACCTGAGGATCATTCATCGCCAAGAATAACCATATGCTGAGGATACCTTTAAGTGAGGCTAAGAATCCTAGTGCTTGAAACTTTTGTTTGTAAACCTGAAGTTTCAAAAACCAGTTCTCCTCATATGCGAGCAGTTTGTGTGTGTGTATATATACACATACATATATAATGTATATATATTCTGTTAGAGTTATTCAATGCCATGATCCATTCAACAGCTGATGAGGAGAATGATGAAGAGATATCGTTGATCAAGATGCAGTGCTCATAAATTGACCTGTTGAAACTCCCTCCTTTTTTTTGCTAGTCCTGGGGCTTGAACTCAGGACCTTGGTGACCTTGAAACGTTTTGGCCTCAAGGCTAGCACTCTACTATTAGAACCATAACACCACGTCTGGCTTTTTCTGAGTAGTTTATTGCCCTTTTCTGCCTGGGCTGGCTTGGAACCATGATCCTCAGATCTTAGCCTCCTGAAGTAGCTAGGATTACAGGCAGGAGCCACAGCTGCCTGGCTTTTCTGTGGAAGCCTTTTTGTGTAACTAAAGACAATAATAAAAAGAAAATAAATTTAATTGAAATGGTTCAACATTTAATCATAAACACATCATCTATTAATTGTTTTGAGATAGTAATATATTTTATAATTTAAAAATAATGAAAACTTCTCTATGAAGTAGTCTTAGAGATCATCAGGTCATATTTTGTGTTATATATGAGCTCATTAAATAGACCAAAGAGACCCAGCACTGGGAGCTCACACCTGTAATCCTAGCTATCCAGGAGACTGAAATCTGAGATTTGCAGTTCAAAGTCAACCCAAGGAGAAAAGTCTATGACATTCAGTTAACTAGCAAAAAGCCAGAAGTGGAGCTGTGGCTCAAGTGGTAGAGGGCCAGCTTTGAGTGAAAACGCTACGCAAGATCTCGAGGCCTTGATTTTAAGCCCTGTTACCGGCACAATCAATCAACGGATGGATCCATCAGTAGCATAGATGGTGCATGCAGAATAAGCAGACGTTGACAGATTCCAGAAGAAACTCAATGCAATCTGTTATTTCTTGAATGAGAAATGCTTGAAGTTGTCCTGTTTAGAATTTCTATGCTGTGGAGGCTTGATTGAAGTGGAAAATAATTTTCTAAGCACTGCTGAAGCCATGCAGTCAACACGGCTTGCATCCCACGGGAGGTTCTGACTTTGTGTCTCTTCTCTCTCATCTAGGTTTGATAGCTGTCGTGATCTTTATCTTGCTCTGCATCACTGCCATAGCCATTCGAATTTATCAGCAGAAAAGGTTATACAAAAGAAATGAGACAAAAAGGTCAGAAAACGTAGACAGTGCCCAGGCTGTTTTGAAAAGCGAGCTTAATATACAAAATACAGTCAATGAAAATCAGAAAGAGTACTTCTTCTGAATGACAGCTCGTATCCGAGTCCAAATGAGGACAGTTGATTTTAATAGCCAGGGGACCTCAATGGACAAGAACTGTTCTTATGCTGAATGTTCAGGCAATGGATTTTTCCCCCCAACACACGTCCAGGCTTGGGATGGCTCTGAGAGTCTTCATCCAGTGACATACTTCGCACTGCAATCATTCTGTGTCACTACGGAACTAGAGATTGTTCTTCATTTACAACTCTGATCTCTAACAAGGTTCACTGAATGACTGACCGCACTGAAAACTGTAGCCTTTGTGTCCACGGTGTAAAACCTAAATGTCGTTAGAGGTAAGAAATCGAAATTGGACTATAATGACCTGGCTTTCTTTGAGAACATATTCTGTGTTTGCTTTAGTCTTCTCATGGTGTTGCTCATAGACCTGGAAATGCTTGTAAGATCCTGTTTGGCTGGTGTTTGCATCCTAATGGCCAAGAGTATATAAAGCCCTTTTGCCTTTCTCTGTATTCCATTCAATACACCAATCACCTGGGGAAAAACGTTTTGTTGTCTTTGGCTTGTGTATATCGCTCTTTCTCTGTTTGACTCTTCCTAATGGTTTTGAACACATTTGGTTTTAAGTGTCTGGCTTTGACTCTGAATATGAGATTTATATGTAACCAAACCAAACCAACCAAACCCCAGACAGTACAGTGGGTTTTTTTTTAAATCAGTATGTGATGTCTTACCTTTCCAGAGTTTTCTGTTTAATTTGTTATCATTGCTTGATGGTGGCAATAGTTAAAATCCCAAATAATACCAATTTCCCAAAGACTATAAATTGTTTTCAATTAAACCTGTTGATACAAAAAATTCTTCACATAGCAAAGGCATTCTTTTTAATGACAACAATAATACCTCAAAGGAAACATACTTCTGAGAATATTTTCCCCAAACTTTTAAGTCAGTTTTTTTTTGCTAGGGTATTATTTCTGTTTTTCTAAAGTTTATCATCAATTTTCCTTTGATCTCCCATGATTATATTCCATGGGCCATCTTCTTATAGATTAGCAGAAAAGAGACAAATTCAAGTGTAAGCTTTTCATCCCCTATTTTAACATACAACTCCCTTTAGGCATGAATTTTGATGTTCACCAACCTCCAGTATATATTCTTTGAAATAAGAAAAAACCATACTCCAATTTCTGAACAACTAGTAGAGTAAGTAAAAGATGTGCACTCTAAGGGAAGTTAGCCTATTATAAATCTGTACCAAATCTATCATTCTAGTCCCTAGGATGGTAATAATAGTTTTTGAAAAAATACCCAAATCCATATGTCACTAACAAGTCCTGTCGAATTGGAGAATATTTATGTACTAGGAGATCAAAGAATTATCAGTATCTTTACGGAACTCTTAGAATGCTTATTATTGAGGCCATGTAAACAGGATACTTACATGGAACTATCTTTGAGTTTCTGTAAGCCAAATGAAATAATAAAGGCACTTTAGTACCCATATTCATTGCCTTCAAGTGCCTCCCAAGCACAAATTATATTTCTTGATTTATGCGTGCCAGGAAGCTTGGAAATAATGTAAAATCAGCATTGCTATCATCTTACTCCCTGTCTCACCTTGCTGACTCTTCTTTAAAACCTGCCTGTCTATATCCATATCGATGTCTCTGTAAATGCTCAACTAAATGTTAAAGGACCCAAATGAACAGTTGATAAAAGACCTATGTTGGTAAATGGCCTTCAGATAAAATTTTATATATATATATATATATATATATACACATATGTATGTATATATGTCAGACAACCTGTGGTGGCAAGAGAAGGATTTAACATAGAAGTGATAATATTTGATGTTAAAAAATGCAACAGTCATCACAGCTGTGAATCTTTCACAAGTATTTGTTTTAGTTCGTGGTGGTATTGCTCTTGTTTATAACTGGAATGTGGCCGGGTGCACAGATGGAGAAGTTGCACAGCCTTGTGTTTGCACTGCCCGAGACAGCAGTGTCCAGCTGTCCCAATGCATTAACACATGATTCTGATTTCCCAGTTTGTTATCCGCTCCTTCCTTTGTTTCTTAATAAAATGGCGCTTTGAAATAAAATGCAAACTATATTTTCAGAGATGTTGTATACAAGTTTAAAATTAGGGAGTCACACAAGATTTCTTTTTCTTAAAATAGTGGGGGAAAAGATGTGCAGATGTTTGCCTTCTTTATTGTGATTGTGTATGTGTATGTGCACTTGAGTTTGTGTGTTAAAACTTTTAGATAGACTTAGAGATGGTCGTGAACCATGAACCAATATGGTAGCGATGTGTTTTTCCTCTGAATTGGAAGGGAAAAAAATGGAAAGTAGAAAAATGTTTGCTAGTTGTAACAAGTAAAGTGGAGTTACAGTAGATTTAAAGTTTGGGCCAGAAAACAAGGTTTTGGCTGCCAGCATTTGTGGAAAGATTTCTATATGTTTAAATTGATTAGCATGCTTTTGTTCTTCTCCAGAAAGCTTAAGCACATGAACACTACCTGCGAACTGCAGAGATGTAATGGGGAAAAATAGTGCAGCCTTCTCAGGTTTAAAACCAGAAATCTCGTTTTGTGATTTTTTTCAAATGAAAACAATGCATAATTAACATTCTCATTTTAAGGAGAGCAAAATTTCCAGGTGTCATTAAATTGAAAGGTAGCCAGACACAAATAGAGCTCAGCCAGGACTGTATTGAGAGCTTGCTTATGTGGATGGATCAGAGCCATCTTTGAGGAATGGCATTTTAATTCATAAGACTCCTCCTCCTGAAATAACCCTTATGCACCCTAGAAAACAGCTTCTTAGTAAGATCCATTCCCAAAGTTTTGTTCTTTAAAGTGTGTCTAATATGTCCTTAAGTTAAAAAAAAAAGTAAAAAGCTACTCATCAGCCACGACCAAGGAGAAGTCAGTCATTTAAAATGATCTTTCATTAGATGGCATCATCTTTCAAAATGGTGGCATTCCTAACAGCATTCCTAGGGGAAGAGAAGAACACTGCTATGGGGCTTGATGCTCAGTTTTACTGAGGAAAGTGTCCTGAGGGCACTATCGCAGCATGCATGGTGTGACCCTGTGGTGGTGTTGATCATAGTGTGCCCAAGACCTAGAATTTTGTCCGTTATTGAGTGGTGTAGAAAACACTGAGAAACCTTGTCAGTCTCCTTGTCCAAAATGATCTATAGTTCTAGATCTTACCCATGATCTCTTTTCGATGAATATTAACTTTTATTAGACTTTTATTGCCTTTGATAGATCTAGATGTTCTTTTAAAGCCATGATGTTTAGAGATCTTGGCTCCAGAATGGACAATGATAATGTAAAAACTTTTTTAATATAAGCTTTGTGAAACCCACAACAGGAGTTGGATTTGGCAGACTGAGTCATTAAATAAAGATGACACTGGGGACAAAGCAAAGCCTGTTCAGTTAGAAGTTGGCTTTCAAATCCTTTTGTTGACTACATGATGACTTTACCAGATGTTTTCAGTGCATCCTGAGTGCCCCCCCCATTTGTCCAAATTCTGCATGATAGAGGGTGGTGATGGAGAAGAAAAATCCAGAAGCCAGATTCCATGGTTTTGGGGATATGGGTAGGTAAAGACTTCCTTGCAGCTGACAGAGCATAGGAACGAAGATAGAAGGAATATGAATCCATTTGCATATGACATGGTAAGAAGGCTGGATATTTGCTTGATTAATCAATATCTTCTATGATGCTTGATGTTTGAAGGCTTACACATGAAAATAAATCGAATCCACAATTACAATCTTTTTTTAATCCTTTTGCTTTCTTTTATTTTTGGACAGCATGCTTAAATTATGATTATAGTTTTACATTTGGCAGTCTGGGCCACATTATTACCAATCTCATCTCTAGAACTCACAGATTCATGGATGGTACCAATAATGTAGCCAAAAGCTCCAGTTGAGAATGTGATAGCAAAAGTGGTTGCGTGTTTTTAGTTTTCCTTTGCCTGAAATAGCTCCTCATACTTCTATAACCGTGACACATTGGTAAAAGTTATAGACCACTTATTTAAGCGTGACAGGACATTGGAAGACCTTAGAGATTTCTTTACCAGAACTCAGGGCAAAGGCCAAGCTAGTCTTTACCATACTTGATTTTCTCTTCTTTCTTTCTAAAGATTTTACTTATTTCTTGAGCTTGCACTATAAGATTCTCTTCTGCCTTCATCCACTTTCCATTTTATGTTACTTTTTGGAAGAGGTTTTCTGTCTCCAGTCCTGTACTTTCCTTTTATATCTTTATTGACAGATTTCAATTCCAGCTCACATTTTACACTCACAAATTCTATGAATGTATTTTTCTTTCCCCCAGCTTTCCTGATTTATTTAATTTATATATTGCTATTTATTATCTGTTCTTTGTGCCGTATTATTTGTAACTTTGAAGGAAATTCCTTTCCTTTTTCTTCTTAAACATTGTCTTTTTTCCTCCAATCTCTTGTTTGGGGGAAGGGATTGATTTGTTTGTGTTAAATATTTTTTCATGGTCAACTTTCAAACATAAGATGATCTTCGTGCATCATTTACATATGGAAATGATGACTACCTGATTGGGAATTTCTAAAATCTATTTCTTTTCAAAGACCTTCTTCTTCTTTATTTCAATTTTTCTTTTAAGTCTGAGACCAGGTCTCAAAGTCAGTATCTGACGCTCCCACTCACTGGCTGGTGCTCTACCACTTGAGCCATAGCTCTAACCCCAAGAACTTCTCATTCTTGGTATCTAAGGGGGCAAGCAAGTCTTCCTGATTCTGCATGGACTTTGACTTTTGTATTGCTTCTGCAACAAAGTACAACAACATGGTGTTGTGAACATTGTACATCTTTCTCCTTCTATAGTTCTGTATCATAGAGTTCCAAAGCTTGTCTCACTGTGTTATAAGACTGAGGAGTTGGCGGGATTTTGTTCCTGGCTGGAAACTTGCAGATAGATGTCTCCTGGCTTCTCACATCATCCATTCCTCCAATATGGAAGTCAGCAATGGCCGCTCACAGCCTTCTTAGATTTCATCATCCTCAACTTCTCTTCTGCCTGCCAGTTCCACCTTAAAAATGCTGTGACTGTGAGGTGCCCCCTTAATCAAATACACTAGGCTCACCTCCCTATCAGATGTGTAGTCTTCTTTCTATCAGCAACATCAAACGTGTGAGGTTGCAGGGACTGAAATGTGCACTGCCTGGGAGGGGGTGGTGCCAGTAAGATCTCTACCACACCCCTGCTACTTCATCCAGCTCGACCTGGTGGCCTTCACTCCAGAGCTGTTTGTAAGGCAGAGAGAAGTGTTCATTCAGGTGTCTCTTTATACTTCGGTACATAAAATGCTCCCAAAGAAAATGCTTGTTTCTATATTTCCAGGTTCCAGTGCATAATGTGCAAACCCTCCTTCCCTCCCTCCCTCCCTCCCTTCCTCCCTCCCTCCCTCCCTCCCTTCCTTCTTTCCTTCCTTCCTTCCTTCCTTCCTGGCTGTGAAGCACAGGCTAGCCTTGGATTTGTGATCCTTCTGCCTCAGAATCTTGGTTGCTAGGATTACAGGAATGAGCAACCTTGCTAGCTTTAGTTCATTCCTTATGGTACATAGGTTGGCCTCAGTTTTCTTACAGGAGGAAAATGCAAAGTCAGTGAATCAAGCCGCAGTAGGACGTGGACTCCTCCACAGTTGTTGCTTCCTGCTGACCTCGCTCTCTTTTTTCCTGACAAAGGACTGGAAACACTCATTACTGGACTGGCTCCCTGTCTTCATTTTGCCTCTTCAAAAATTAGAAGCTATAAACCATTGTTTTTGGAAGGCCATTACATTGTTAATTTCTATTTTATTACACAGGAAGCTAGCAAGACTAGTTTTTACCATAACTCTTTGGATAATGCCTAATTTGGGTTTTCTCTTAATAAAATGATTTCCTTGTTTCTTGTGCTACTCCACATGACTTTATGGTCCTGGAGCCAGCACAGCTGCTTCTAAGCTGTCCGTGTGATAAACTTCCTGGTAAATTATGTTTCTGCTGGATGAATTCATGTTTTTATTCAGAATAAGCTGTTATAAATGATTCATGTTTCTCTATATTTTCAGCAGGAACAAATTAATTTTTTAATTG